TTGGAGTGTGAGCAGGGTAATATTTAGTGAAGGGATTCAGGGAAACCGGTTATTTTATATAACCGGACTTGAGTCCTGGAAATGGGAAGTACAATGCCTGCACTCTAAAGGAGAGGTTTGGGATATTGGCAGTTTGGAGAGATAGTGTGTATTTTTATACGTATATACTTCTAAACTGTTGTATTCTGGGCACCTCTGCAAAAACAGTGATTATGTGTAAGTGAGGTGAAAGTGTTGAATGATGATGAAAGTATTTTCTTTTTGGGGATTTTCTTTCTCTTTGGGTCACCCTGCCTCGGTGGGAGGCGGCCGACTTGTTGGAAAAAAAAAAAATGGATATTTATGCAAACACAGGAGAAGTGGGCTAGTGACCCCTTCTCCTGTATAAATTACTACATGCAAAATGAAAAACTTCCATTTTTCCTTTTAGGTCACCCTGCCTCGGTGGGAGATGGCTGGTGCATTGAATTTTTTTTTTATTGCAAACACTGCTGTATTGTTCTTGTTAACATTTATTATTACAACAGAAACTGCTTTCTCTTTCTTACTTCTTTCTATGGCCAGTGATGTCTTCTAATTGGCACATGCATATATCTAGCAACAATAAAACCTTAACTCTTCCAGCCAGGATTTTGTTGTTGCTAGAATTCTATGTCCCATTAACCATACCCCCGGCCGGGATTGAACCCGCGGTCATAGTCTCAAAACTCCAGCCCGTCGCGTTAGCCACTAGACCAGCTAGCCACAATAAGATTCATCCAACTAGGTATATTTCTACACCATAGGAAGGTTAGCACAGGCACCACTGTGACCACAAATGCAAGTTTTTACAGACGAATCTCTCTTGCATTTGTGGTCACAGTGGTGCCTGTGCTAACCTTCCTATGGTGTAGAAATATACCTAGTTGGATGAATCTTTTTGTGGCTAGCTGGTCTAGTGGCTAACGCGACGGGCTGGAGTTTTGAGACTCTATGACCGCGGGTTCAATCCCGGCCGGGGGTATGGTTTGTTTGCAATCGTGTCATTACGATTTCTTGAGTCTATGTCCCATTGTTTATATCTATGAACTGTGTAGAAACACAGTTCTTTAATACAGGCATTCCTCACTTTATGCAGTGGTTGCATTCCAGGCTCATGACACATTTACTGAACTCTTTCAGGCCATTAACACAATTCTGCATAATAATAATAATCATAAAGAATAATAATCATCATCATCAAATTTCCATGGAGAAGTGGAACAGAATTCTTCCTCCGTAAAAAATGTGTGTTGTAACAGATGACTAAAATGCCTGGAGTAAGGGGCTAGTAACCCTTCTCCTGTGTACATTACTAAATTTAGAGAATCTTTCTTTTATCTTTTTAGGTCACCCTGCCTCAGTGGAATATGGCTGGTTTGATGGAAAAAAAAAATCATCAACAAATTAAGTGCTAAACCTGGAAGGGTCTTACAGCACTGCAGGGAGGGATGTACTAAAGGAGGAATATCCACAAGCTAAGAACAACTGAGGGGCATGAGTGTACAAGGGTGAGGGTTAGTAGTGGGGAGTGCAAAAGATAAAATAAAATCTAAGTTGGTGCAATAAGCTAACTTCTATTAAAATGTCAGAGAGAGAGTGAGTGAGTGAGTTTGTGTCAAAAGTGGGACTTTCAGTGAGGTCGGTTAGTGTGTGTTGGCACTGTGGAGACAGGAAATGAATTCTGTGCCTGCTGATAGACAGGACAATCTATTAAGATATGGTGAACTGACAATGCAACCCACATAATAAGAATCTTCAATACATTCTGCAAACAACATTTCTCTTGGAAACACATATATATTGCACATAAGAAATTAGGTACTGACAGAAATGGAACACAGATAATTTTGAGTTTGCATACAACAAACCTGCATCAAGTGAGGAGAAACCTGTACAGTACATTAAAATGGCAATACTATATAACTCTTAGAAAGTAACCAGCTAATTGTCTCTCTTACTAAATTCTTATCTATACCTTGTTTACCTATTTAATTATGAGAAGTATTCAGCTCCTACATAAACAGCAAAAAAAAAAAAAAAAAAAAAAAAAAAAAAAAAAAAAAAATTACCATACGCATGATCTTCCTAATCACTACACACTTAAGAACCCAACATTCACCATCATCTGCATGTAATGAAAAATATTTACTAATAATCTATTACATTTTCTATAAAATATTGTGATATGAACATTAGCCTTTGTCACAAATACAAAGTAATAAAAATACCTGTACATAAAAGTTTTCAAAAATATATATATTCATTAAAATACCTTATCAAAATTGTTAACTTTATAATCTTTTAAAATTCTCATTATTATCAATTTCTGAACAATTACCATACACATTATGCTAATTACCTTCGAAGTGTAAAGGCCACACAGATAAGATGGTACGAATGTACTGCATTCATTCCATCTTTTCCATGCTCGCAGTCTCAAGTCACTTTATACCTTACATAAAACATTATTGCTGGTGTGGTTTTGTCTAATGAATATGTAAGCAGGCAGGTAATTCTTACGAACTCCTCTTTAAATTCAGTATATATGAGAACCCCAACTTACAAATGCTCCAAATAATGAGCATCTACACTTATGAACCATTTTGATGCTTACACCAATCAATACTCGTATGCAATATGAACATGGGTGAAGCTTATCCATCTTTTGTGCTGTTGTTTTTTATAAAACCTATTTGTAACTTGAAACACCAAGAATGCAATTTGTTTGTAAGTTGAAACACCAGGAATGGAACTGGTTTTTAAGTTGAAACACAAGTAATGCAACTGGTTTGGAAGTTGAAACACAAGTAATGCAACTGGTTTGGAAGTTGAAACACAAGTAATGCAACTGGTTTGTAAGCTGAAACACAAGTAATGCAGCTTTTTTGGAAGTTGAAACAAAAATGCTACTAGTTTGTAACCTGAAACACCATGAATGCAACTGCATTTTAAGTTTAAACACCAGTAATGCTACTGGTTTTCAAGCTGAGAACTTCCTGTGTACTTATCTTTAAAAGCAAATTGAACTTGTGAAATGAACCACTAAGGGTAAATTTACACATTCTACATACTGTATTTCATCTAAATATGGGTGACACCTATGATATGTTCTCAGAGACACTGTAGAGAGGCTTCTACGGACTTTTCAGCTTGTTAAATCATGCAGGAATTAAGCCATAACTCCAGGACCCAACTCAAACTCTAGACAGATTTTATTAATTTCTGGCCTCCAGGGAGCAAATGAGTATTCACCTATGAGTATGTATGTATGTATGTATGTATGTATGTATGTATGTATGTACAGCAAGTATGTACAGTGTGTATGTCCAGCATGTACTCACCTAATTGTGCTTGCCTCTTCTGTGACTGAAGAAATACTTCCTAACAACCCTGTGATTCATGTATGTATGTATGTACAGCATGTATGTGTGTATATAAAGCATGTATGTACATATGGCATGTACATATGTATGGTATGTACGTACATACAGTATGTGTGTACGAACGTAAGGTATGTATGTACGTAAAGTGTATGAATGGTATGTATGTATGGTATGTATGTATATACAGTATGTATGTATATACAGTATGTATGTATATACAGTATGGTATGCATGTATGTATGGTATGTACATATGATGTGTGTTTAACCCTTAAACTGTCCAAACGTAGATCTATGTTCGCTTGCACAGCGCTCCGAATGTAGATCTACATTTGTTTGGACAGTTTAAGGGTTAAGTATGCCTTTTCTACAAACTGCAGTTATAATATTAGAATCAATACAGTTAATGAGAATGTCGAGGACTAGAAGCTTGCCTTTTGTTTCCATAAAAAAATTATCGACAATTGGGCTAAGTGAATTACCTATAGTCATTGCATTGTTTTCCCTATAGAATTCTTCATTATGTGAAAGTAACATTCTCTTCTCAACAGTCTCAATAATTCACATGTTCTGGTTGATCTATATTCAAGGTCGGCAAAATTGTTTTGAGACATAAAAACTGACAAATTTCCTTGATGGTAAGTTTATGCTGTTCAACTTCTCAATAATGTTCCACTGACTATACAGTATACTGTAAGATCAGTAAATCATTAGCTAACCTCTGGAACAGTCTCTAAATAATAGAATTAGCATTCCTAATCCTACTTAGGGTGGAAATGTCTTAATAGCTTTATACTCTTTGGCTAAATTTGTTGCTTGTAAAAAAAATTAAGATTTGTTGAACTTAATTACGTCTGGCTGATTAAACTAAGTGACATACTGTGCTGAAAAATGTTCTGGTCTCATAATGTACTGTACAGTGCATACATACATACATACATACACTAAGAACTATTAACAAATAACAGATATATTCAAACATATTAAAAAAAATACAAATACAAATAATCTAAAAAAACAAAGTTGTTGGAAATTCAACTTAATGCTTGACAGTACAAATAAGGGATCATTAGGAAGTGTACTTGGTGGCATCAAAATCAACTTGAGAGATTAAAAGATTTTTTTTTGTGTTACACATAACTGCTAATTAAGCATCCATACTTTAAGCATGCAGAAAATAAAGTCCACTGAAACACTAAAAAATCTCTTTTTACATTTGGCTATTAGGCTTGCATTCAGTTCTTTGACAATAATTATAGGGATTTACAAAACAGATCCTTCCTTAAAAAAAAAAAAAAAAAAGTGTAGAGGTATGTTTATATGAAAATTTGTTATGCTATATGTAATTACTTATTTATAGTTATATCTGTTTGTAATTCCATAGCTGAGCTAAGCACATGGTGTCCTGCCATCAGTATTCAATTTATAATCACTTTTCACCTGCTACCTTATCCTGTAATAAATTTTGATCTTCCACTCTGTGAAGAACTTTATGGAGGTGAACTCCTGTGATTTTTGTTAAAAGCCATTTTTTATGTGGATTTTAGTAGGGCATTTAAATAAAAAAAAACTGTATGGGGCATAAATAAAGATAAAGACTGATATTATACTTTATGGCTGTGAGAAAATATACATATATCAACAATTACTGCTTATCAGAATATGCAGAGCCCAAACACAATGCTTCAAGAAATTCTTGTGATATATTTGCACAAGACATTCTCCAAACTTCAGCAACTATGTAGGCTAAGAAATTGGTGAAACTTCACTAAGTACTGGAGTAAATTATGCCAAACTTGGCTATCCAGGTACTGGCCACTGTAGGCATCAAGTAAGAATCAACAAGACAGTATGTACACAATATGCACATTATAAACCCATGTATGGTCCTTAACCAATTCAGCATAAGAATAAATATTTATCTTCATATTACCACAAGCAGACATAAAGAAGTCTATAATGATAGCTGCATATATAGTTAAAATCCAACATGAGTTTCTCTACAGCATCAACCTAAATCATCACCTAACACCCAAAAGCTAAAAATTTTGGCTAACTGGTAGCATTATTATTTCTAAACACAGTTAACCATCATCACAACATGATGCCCAACACAATAAAAATATGTTTGAAGATTTGACTATTAGTAATCATCACTTAATATATTTCAGACTTATGAAAATCTTGATAATTATTAATGTGCCCAAATATTTTCCACCACTTACTGCACTTCCAAGAAATGACTCACTACTAATGCTGCCCAGCCACTGCAATACTGTGGAAATTTCTGCACTGCTGGTCTGCCTTTATACCTTAAGGAGGATTTGTAGCAAGCCTCACATACCAAAGCAACATCTTGCATCCCTTGGGCCAAATTTCACACAGTGTAGAACTCATTCACACTTGTCTTTGACAGTGAGCATGATGAGGTTGGTCTGATGGATGAGGTATGTAGCACTCACAAATACTGCATTGGCCCTGTTACAATGAAAAGAAAAGATAGGTCATTAATAAAAATGCATAATTACACATTTATTTTTTCAATTTCCACATAAAAAAATATTGTATTACATTAAATATTGCATGTTTAATTTTATTAACATACAGTATGTCATATCAGAGTATTAAGTTAGAGACCAGGCCATGATCGCAATTACTCCTGGAACCAGCTACAGCTAGGCTACAAGTACCTTGGCTTGTTTCATCCTATCATGCACTCAGTGGCATACGGTAGTTACTGTCACAATATTTCATAATGGGATAAAAAAAATTAGTTTTCCATTATGATCCATGATTGTATTACTAAGTGAGCTTAATATTTATGATGAATTTACCATCTTTGGTGGGTGTGCAGCACTCACCTAGCACACCCAGAATATACGCCCCTGCTTGCATTCTGTTGTAGTCAAGGGTTACCCACTTCCCATGAGTTTTCTGGATTCTTATAGTCATGGGAAGTGCAAAATCTGTAGGAGTCGTACAGTATCTGGTGAATGGGAGGTAATCAGGTTCGATTCAAGGAGGAGAAAGGTAGCCCTGATTCCTTGAATAAAGAACTCTTCATTACCATGAAGATATCCCCCTTGAAGGGTGAATTTTCTAGAATTTTCTTTCTACACCACTGATACCAGACTTGTTCTCACTTATCTTGGTGGCACAACATTATGGAGTTCTGGATAGGCCTCCAAACTGGAAAACCGTCCAGAAGTGCACAGAGTGAATACAAAACTATAAAGCAAATAACAAGATAATGAACTATCCCACACATACACATCATGTACTGACAGGTGACTTGCTGGCTGATTTACTGAATTAGAATCCACCCACTGGCTCAATAGTCTTTGCACTGGTATATTATATGCACTCCACAAATTTTTTAAATGCTAAAATATACACTTAAATGCAAAATGCCTGAACTTAAAACACTAACAAATTTCTTTCTTCTTCTTTCAACACATCGGCTGTATCCCACCAAGGCGGGGTGGCCCAAAAGGAAAAACCAAAGTTTCTCCTTTTAAATTTAGTAATATATACAGGAGAAGGGGGTTACTAGCCCCTTGCTCCCGGCATTTTAGTCGCCTCTTATGACACACATGGCTTACGGAGGAAGAATTCTGTTCTACTTCCCCATGGAGGACTAAGAAATTTATTATCATTAATGTGGTATGTGAACTAGGGATACATTGAATCAACATATTTACTGTAATTTCCCCTCATCATAGAAATGATGAGGGGAAAAAGGTGAGTGGTGCACTGAGGAGTCTGTGGGGACAAAAAAAAATTATCCATGGAAGCAAATAGGGGTATGTATGAGAGCATAGTTATACCAACGCTCTTATATGGGTGTGAAGCATGGGTAGTGAATGTTACAACAAGGAGAAGGCTGGAGGCAGTGAGATGTGTCCAAAGGCAATGTGTGGTGTGAATATAATGCAGAGAATCCTAGTTTGGAAATTAGGTGGTGGTGTGGGGTTACGAAAAGTTTTTAAGGTGGTTTGGACATTTGGAGAGGATGGAACAAAATAGAATGACTTGGAGAGCATATAAATCTGTAGTGGAAGGCGGGGTAGGGGTTGGCCTAGTAAAGGGTGGAGGGAGGGGGTAAAAGAGGCTGTGTGTGTGAGGGGCTTGGACTTTCAGCAAGCATGTGTATGTTAGATAGGAGTGAGTGGAGACAAATGGTTTTTAGGACTTGATGGGCTGTTGGAGTGTGAGCAAGGTAACATTTATGAAGGGATTCAGGGAAATCAGCAGACCAAACTTAAGTCCTGGAGGTGGGAAGTACAGTGCCTACACTCTTAAGGAGGGGTGTTAATGTTGCAGTTTTATAACTGTAGTGTAAGCACACCTCTGGCAACACAGTGATAGAGTGAATGATGATGAAAGTTTTTCTTATTTGGGCCATCCTGCCTTGGTGGGAAACAGCCAATGTATTAATAAAAAATAAAAAAAATAATTCTACCATTCTGCACAAGAACACTGTCACAAATGCCTTACTGTCCCTCCTTGAAGTACTCCTTGAGTGTGTTGCTGAACTTCTTGCTATGCTTTACAAAGTCACGTTTACGATGTTCCAGTGCCTGCTTGCCTTGTGTGCCTGGTATGTACTGAGACACTTCTGACACAGCATCCAACAGCTTCTTGATTGCACTTGCAATTTCTCTGCCAGAATGAGTTAAGTAATCATCATTAATATATTATCATCGTTTTCAAGGGAAACAGCTAAGTGCACAAACGCCATACAGCACCTGGGGAATGAAAGGTAATCAGGTTTGATCCAACGAGAGGAGAGCATAGCTCCAGTTCTTTGGACTAAAATTATTATAATCATGTGGATGATTTAAACCCACTGGGCTCATACAGCTCACTTGGTCAAATGACTTTCACCAGCATCAAGGCACCTCCCTGGTATTCATTATATTACATGGTTATGGACAGCAGGTGTCTTAAGGAAACACTGTACAGATATGGCATTGTTAATATGCATATTGCTCTGCCAATCAGGTTGCAATATTGGATAAGTAACTGTGCAGACACAGCCTCACTACTGTTTTCAAAGGACCTCAATATGCCACTTGCAGGTTTCCTCACCCTTAATGGAAACCTTTCCAAAGCCACAACAGGCACAAGATTAGATAAATATATTTCCCAAATGTAAATACCTATTAATTAAAGATATCCCATAAATTCACAGACTTCCTTATTTGTAGGTTTCAAGTATCCAAAGCTTTGACTGATGGCCAACCCACAAACAGATTTGATTATCCACCATCTCATTCGAACTGTACACAAGAGCATTACTATGCACAAATCTCTCTCTTATTCTGATTATGTTTTATGAATGTCAATATTAACCGGATCAGTGATTTATTAAGATATACATATATGCAGTCTAAAAGTTAAAATGAACCTAAATCTGAAACAATCTCTTATGCACTTAAGAGCCTTTATTATGTATGTATTTGCAGTTTTTACTTTTTCAAGACTTCAAGGAATGTAGCCCTCCCCCATCCCCAACAAATCTGTAGGAATGACTATACAGTATATGCATATCTTTATAAGTAATAAAATTTGATTTAATTTTTTTTTTTAACAAGTCAGCCATCTCCCACTGAGGCAGGGTGACCCAAAAAGAAAGAAAATCCCCAAAAAGAAAATACTTTCATTATCATTCAACACTTTCACCTCACTCACACATAATCACTGTTTTTGCAGAGGTGCCCAGAATACAACAGTTAAGAAGCATACACACATAAAGATACACATCCCTCCAAACTGCTAATATCCCGAACCCCTCCTTTAGAGTGCAGGCATTGTACTTCCCATTTCCAGGACTCAAGTCCGGCTATATAAAAATACACTGTAACCGGTTTCCCTGAATCTCTTCACTAAATATTACCTTGCTCACACTCCAACAGATTGTCAGGTCCCAAATACCATTCGTCTCCATTCACTCCTATCGAACACGCTCATGCATGCCTGCTGGAAGTCCAAGCCCCTCGCCCACAAAACCTCCCTTACCCCTTCCTTCCAACCTTTTCGAGGACGACCCCTACCCCGCCTTCCTTCCCCTACAGATTTATATGCTCTCCATGTCATTCTACTTTGATCCATTCTCTCTAAATGACCAAACCACCTCAACAACCCCTCTTCAGCCCTCTGACTAATACTTTTATTAACTCCACACCTTCTCCAAATTTCCACACTCCGAGTTTTCTGCATAATATTTACACCACACATTGCCCTGGTGTATGATGTTATGACTCCCAGATGTTTCGCCCAGCCGTCTCTGCCACAACTCGCTCCACGACTCACTCCACGCTCGCCGGCAGTGACAGCCCAGCGACAGTACCAGTCGAGAAGTGTCCTCCTGAGTCACTTGCCAGAAGTCCTGCCCAGTTGCCGAGTTTTGACAACGCCTCACTTGAGGGCACCAGCACGTCATGCCCTAGGTTGAGTGAAACCTGCAATGACTCCTACGATGACTGCTTCACCATTTCAGAGGAGACCGTACCCTGTTACATCACAGCTCAGCCGCAGCGATGTCTCCTGTGTTGCAGTATCTGTCCAGACGCAGGAAGGCATGCAGTGATGCCCATCGACGCTCACTGCCTATGACCATGATGTTTAGCACACCCCACATGTTTTTTTCTTCCCTCCCTGTAGGAAGTTTTTTTTTCCATGTCCATATGTATATATATATATGTTTTATATTCCGTGTTCTGTGCCCTGTTCCTACGAGAGAGAGAGACCGAGTTTTTTTTTACCACCAGTATTGTCGAGTCGGGACGACACGAGGTAGGTGGCCGAGCAAATGTAGACAGCCTGCACTGTCTGCACAGACAGCCTATGCTGTCTGCTAGCTTAGTTCATATTTCGCGGCACTCAGGTGCTGCCCTCTCTCGGCTTGCCCAGGTCAGTGGGACGCTGGTCCCAACTCACTCACTCACTCAGCGGCCTAGAAGCAGACAAGTCTACTCCCTCTCTCCCTTGTGGGCATGGCCCTCCTGGGCCATGGGCACTTAACACATTGCCTGTGTGCACCACGACTTTGCAAATAAAGTAAAGAAGCCTCTGAACACGTTTATCATTGAACCCCGCTCTGCAAGAGCCACCAAACAAACTGGTTATAAATTCTCGCCATCTACCCAAAACCTCCATCTCCCTATCTAACTCCCCTACTCTGTTTTTAACTGACAAATCCATTCGTTCTCTAGGCTTTCTTAAACCAGCCCACCTTTCTGCCAATAGTTGCTTATATCTCACCCGAACTTCCTCCTCCCTTAGTTTATACACTTTCACCTCCCTCTTGCTTGTTGTTGCCATTTTCCTCTTTTCCCATCTACCTCGTACTCTAACTGTAGCTACAACTAAATAATGATCTGATATATCAGTTGCCCCTCGATAAACGTGTACATCCTGGAGCCTACCCATCAACCTTTTATCCACCAATACATAATCTAACAAACTACTTTCATTACGTGCCATATCATACCTTGTATATTTATCCTCTTCTTCATAAAATATGTATTACTTATTACCAAACCTTTTTCTACATATAGCTCAATTAAAGGCTCCCCATTTTCATTTACCCCTGGCACCCCAAATTTACCTACTACTCCCTCCACAACATTTTTGCCCACTTTAGCATTGAAATCCCCAACCACCATTACTTTCACACTTGGTTCAAAACTCCTCACGCATTCACTCAACATTTCCAAAAATCTCTCTCTCTCCTCTACACTTCTCTCTTCTCAAGGTGCATATATGCTTACTATAACCCACTTTTCATATCCAACCTTTATTTTACTCCACATAATCCTTGAATACATTTATAGTTCCTCTTTTCCTGCCATAACTTATCCTTCAACATTATTGCTACTCCTCCTTTAGCTCTAACTCTATTTGAAACCCCCTGACCTAATCCCATTTATTCCTCTCCACTGAAACTCTCTCACCCCCTTCAGCTTTGTTTCACTTAAAGCCAGGACATCCAGTTTCTTCTCATTCATAACATCCACAATCATCTCTTTCTTATCATTTGCACAACATCCACACACATTCAGACTTCCCACTTTGACAATTTTCTTCTTATTCTTTTTAGTAATTATTACAGGAAAAGGGGTTACTAGCCCATTGTTCCCGGCATTTTAGTTGACTTTTACAACACGCATGGCTTACGGAGGAAAGATTCTTATTCCACTTCCCCATGGATATAAAAGTAAAAGTAATAAGACCAAGAACTATTAAGATAAAATCAAAGAAAACTCAGATGAGTGTGTATAAATAAACATGTACGTACATGTATGTGTAGTGTGACCTAAGTGTAAGTAGAAGTAGCAAGACGTACCTGTAATCTTGCATATTTATGAGACAGACAAAAGACACCAGCAATCCTACCATCATGTAAAACAATTACAAGCTTTCGTTTCACACTCGCTTGGCAGGACGGTAGTACCCCCCTGGGTGGTTGCTGTCTACCAACCTACTACCTGACCCAAAAACATATATACTCATACAGAGGCAGAAATAAAGCATGTTTGTTAAAAAGTAGCAAAATCTTTGGGGATACCATACTTATACAGTGGACCCCCGGTTATTGGCCAGTTTGGTTATCGGCCAAGTCGGTTATCGGCGCCAGGTTATCAGCCGTTCGCTCGGTTATCGGCCGTTTTGGACGTGTCCATCCGCCATCTGGGGCAGCTTGCGCTTCAGTTTGGCTTTGTCTGTCGGTGGCTAAGGAAGCTTTTGCTCATACATCCAAACATTTTGCTTGTTTACCATTTTTTTAGTGGTTTTTCTTGCAGTGCAACTGTGAAATAAGTAGCCATGGCTCCAAAGAAAGTTCCTAGTAAAGTTCCTGTGGTAAAGAAAGTGAGAAACACCATGGAATTTAAGTGTGAAGTGATAGAAAAGTTTGAGAGTGGTATGAAGGTGGTGGAACTTGCCAGGATGTACAGCAAGAATAAATCAACAATTACATCCATCCTGGCAAAGAAAGAACAAATCAAAGACACTAATGTTGCAAAAATGGTTGGAGGTGAGTGGCGAAGATGTGGAAGAGTTGGTGGAGGACCACAGGGAAGAGCTTACCACTGAAGAGCTGCAAGAGCTTCAACTTGATCAGCAATAGACTGCAGCTGAGGAACTTGCTTCAGAGGAGGAGGAAGAGGGAGTGAAGGAGGTGCCTTCTTCAGAGATTAAAGAGGTGTGTGCAATGTGGACTATGGTGCAAGCTTTTGTAGAGAAACACCACCCTGACAAAGCTGAAACAAGCCATATCTGCAACATGTTTAGTGACAAAACCCTGTCCCACTTCAGGAAAATCTTAGAGAGATGCCAGAAACAAAGCACTCTGGACAGTTATTTTGTGAGACAGGGGTCCAGTGACTTTCAAGCAGGTCCTAGTGGCATTAACCCTTTGAGGGTCGACAGGCCCTCTCCGAAACTCGTTCTCAGGGTCGGCCAAATTTAAAAAAAAAAAAAAATATTTTCTCTTATGAAAAGATAGAGAATCTTTTCCCGATCATAAAGACACCAAAAGTTTGAAATTTGATAGAAAACTTACGGAATTATGCTCTCGCAAAGTTAGCGGTCTCGGCGATGTTTACGCATCGGCGATTTTGCCCACTTTGAGCCCCATTTTCGGCCAATTTCACTGTACTAGTCGACAAAAAACATGAATATTTCGCTAGAACTCCATTTTTTCTATCGAATGGATGCAAGAAACCACTCATTTATGAAATTCAACTATCCAGTACAGTGGTCAGAATTTAGCAATTTTGCCAATTTCACACAAATTTCAAAAGATGCCAATTTCGGAATAGGGTCCAGAATAAACAAGAAAGACATTCCTAGCACTAAAATGACATTTCCTCTAGTCATTAGTCATGTCTCAAGTCGCCTCTTATATTCTTTTGCTTTCCACTTTGAATTTTTATTTTCACAAAAAATATAAGATTTACTGTTATGCAGACTACTGCATTAGTGTAAAAAATGGTATAAATATTATTGGTGCACTTGTGAAAGAATATTAGACTCACCAGTTGACGTGTATTGCACGCTTGGCACGATTTGTTTACTTTTGAAGTTTGGTAAAAATCGAACATTTCTGCTACTTTGAGCTCAATTTCAAGGCACCTTTCTTTGTAAAACCAGTCAAAATCATCTCAATTTCTGTAATATGTCTTGCATTCTATAAAATGAGACCAAGAAAACTAGAATACAACAATAAATACCATACGAAAATACACTGCAAAGTCGCTGATTTATTCAAAAAAAATGGTCAAAGTTTTTTTTTTCTCATTATGCACTGTGTGCTGCAGGATTTTTTTTAGACTGTGCACACTGACCACATAGACCCATTCTTTCATATGAAGGCCTACCAGCTTTCTCCCACTAGATTTGAGGCCGCTAGAATTTATGAGTACTAGTACGTCAAAAACCCCTACGCGTAAGACGTACTAGTACGACAAAAACCCTCAAAGGGTTAAAAGACAAAGAAGGGAAGTAACTCCAGAGAAGGCTTTACTACCTAAAGTCTTCATGGAGGGGGATTCCCCTTCCAAACACTAACTCCTCCCTCTTTCCTCCTCTATCTTCCAGAAGACAGCATTAGCCTTCAATAAAGGTATGTAATACTTACATAATTGTAAAAAAAATAATTTTTTTGTGAATATTTTTGTTTGGAACGAATTAATTGTATTTCCATTAATTCTTATAGGAAATATTAATTCGGTTATCGGCCGACCTTCAGGAACGGATTACGGCCGATAACCGGGGGTCCACTGTATATTGCACAAAGATGAAGATATGTAGAAAAATAGTGTTGTAAAACAGTTTAATAATTTGTGCATTTATATACTCTGAGATAAATGCTACAATACCAGCTATTCTAACAATACAAAAAAGTTATCTTACTTAATGGTTTCCAAGAAAGTCTTCCTATCTGTTATCTCATCTGGGATGCGTGACAGTATGCGCTTGAGGTTTGCTGATTTTTTATTTAGCTCTTGAAAAGCATCTTCAGTGCGTGTTACTCTGTAGTCACCACCTGTAATACAAAACTTGTCCTGCAAAATATGTATTAACAGTACACAATGTTAAATACAAAAAGATGTAAAATGTATGATGATAATAACTCAGAACAGTAAAAGTTTAATAATTACTGCAGTGAATATTAAAAATAAGATAAAAAATAAAAACTTACACATGCAAATCTGCTGGTGATAAAAAAGACTCTGCACATGCATTTTACAACACATACTTAAAACATTATATACAAAATTTTAATAACTGAATTACGGGCCTGACTACCTAAGTAAGTTCAGAAAAGAAGGTAAAGAAACTGTGTAAAAAATGAACCACTCAACAAAGCCATCATTATCTGTTCACACAGCATTTACTGGAATACTATTCAACAGCTTCGGAAAGAAAATGTATAGAAATAATATATACAAGAGTTTTTTTTTTATTATTATCACACTGGCCAATTCCCACCAAGGCAGGGTGGCCCGAAAAAGAAAAACTTTCACCATCATTCACTCCATCACTGTCTTGCCAGAAGGGTGCTTTACACTACAGTTTTCAAACTGCAACATTAACACCCCTCCTTCAGAGTGCAGGCACTGTACTTCCCATCTCCAGGACTCAAGTCCGGCCTGCCAGTTTCCCTGAACCCCTTCATAAATGTTACTTTGCTCACACTCCAACAGCACGTCAAGAATTAAAAACCATTTGTCTCCATTCACTCCTATCAAACACACTCACGCATGCCTGCTGGAAGTCCAAGCCCCTCGCACACAAAACCTCCTTTACCCCCTCCCTCCAACCTTTCCTAGGCTGACCCCTACCCCGCCTTCCTTCCACTACAGACTGATACACTCTTGAAGTCACTCTGTTTCGCTCCATTCTCTCTACATGTCCGAACCACCTCAACAACCCTTCCTCAGCCTTCTGGACAAAAGTTTTGGTAATCCCGCACCTCCTCCTTACTTCCAAACTACGAATTCTCTGCATTATATTCACACCACACATTGCCCTCAGACATGACATCTCCACTGCCTCCAGCCTTCTCCTCGCTGCAACATTCATCACCCATGCTTCACACCCATATAAGAGCGTTGGTAAAACTATGCTCTCATACATTCCCCTCTTTGCCTCCAAGGACAAAGTTCTTTGTCTCCACAGACTCCTAAGTGCACCACTCGCCCTTTTCCCCTCATCAATTCTATGATTCACCTCATCTTTCATAGACCCATCCGCTGACACGTCCACTCCCAAATATCTGAATACATTCACCTCCTCCATACTCTCTCCCACCAATCTGATATCCAATCTTTCATCACCTAATCTTTTTGTTATCCTCATAACCTTACTCTTTCCTGTATTCACTTTTAATTTTCTTCTTTTGCACACCCTACCAAATTCATCCACCAATCTCTGCAACTTCTCTTCAGAATCTCCCAAGAGCACGGTGTCATCAGCAAAGAGCAACTGTGACAACTCCCACTTTATGTGTGATTCTTTATCTTTTAACTCCACGCCTCTTGCCAAGACCCTCGCATTTACTTCTCTTACAACCCCATCTATAAATATATTAAACAACCACGGTGACATCACACATCCTTGTCTAAGGCCTACTTTTACTGGGAAATAATTTCCCTCTTTCCTACATACTCTAACTTGAGCCTCACTACTCGTAAAAACTCTTCACTGCTTTCAGTAACCTACCTCCTACACCATACACCTGCAACATCTGCCACATTGTCCCCCTATCCACCCTGTCATACGCCTTTTCCAAATCCATAAATGCCACAAAGACCTCTTTAGCCTCATCTAAATACTGTTCACTTATATGTTTCACTGTAAACACCTGGTCCACACACCCCCTACCTTTCCTAAAGCCTCCTTGTTCATCTGCTATCCTATTCTCCGTCTTACTCTTAATTCTTCCAATAATAACTCTACCATACACTTTACCAGGTATACTCAACAGACTTATCCCCCTATAATTTTTGCACTCTCTTTTGTCCCCTTTGCCTTTATACAAAGGAACTATGCATGCTCTCTGCCAATCCCTAGGTACCTTACCCTCTTCCATACATTTATTAAATAATTGCACCAACCACTCCAAAACTATATCCCCACCTGCTTTTAACATTTCTATCTTTATCCCATCAATCCCGGCTGCCTTACCCCCTTTCATTTTACCTACTGCCTCACGAACTTCCCCCACACTCATAACTGGCTCTTCCTCACTCCTACAAGATGTTATTCCTCCTTGCCCTATACACAAAATCACAGCTTCCCTATCTTCATCAACATTTAACAATTCCTCAAAATATTCCCTCCAACTTCCCAATACCTCTAACTCTCCATTTAATAACTCTCCTCTCCTATTTTTAACTGACAAATCCATTTGTTCTCTAGGCTTCCTTAACTTGTTAATCTCACTCCAAAACTTTTTCTTAAAGAGTAAAGTATCAATACTGTATTTTAGGATTGTGCCAAATCATAAGGTAATATTACAGTAGACTTTCACAACCAATTTTAACAATATCTTGCACCTTCTATCTGTTCCAGCAAGCAAATATGATAGTCTAGATAACACCTAGCCTTTGAGGAGATCTAAGAGATTCATGCCTTCAGTATATTCTATTTTTTTTTATTTTTTGCACCTAACCATATTGTACTTAATACATCAACAGTACATCATTTAGTTGAAAGAAACAAAGTGCTCTTAAAACATCTCAGTGTCTCTCAAACAGGGCATTTACTTTCTTCCAGATTGGCATGACAACTACTGCACTACAATCAGATTTAAGGGAACCAGAACCAAAGAATAACTAAGTGGTACATTTATGTAGCATGTCCAAATTAATAATAAATAAATAAATAACTAGATTACAAAGGATTATCAGACTAATAAGTTAATCGTTTGATAATTTCGCCTGCTATGCAAATTCAAATTAAACAGTATTTAAAAACAAAAGTTTTTAAAATTTTTGGACTACATATCTTTATGTAGTACAATTTCAGCAAGTCTCTTGTAATGCAAAGAACTTTTGGCAGATTAAAGCAAGACAACCTTTATTACCTACAGTAGTCACACCGATTCTATTCACTCTTATTCATATGATCAAAGTTTATGTAAAACAAATAATTGAAATGAAGAATACAAGCAGGCTTAAAACCAGGATCTGAAGGGCATTGCTATCTTTGTACCAAATTTAAAATAACCAATGTCAGTGAACCAGTGGGCCCCAATTAACCCGTAAATGGTCCAAACGTATATATAAGTTTTTTCAACATTTGAAAATACAGTGGACCCCCACTTTACGATCAGCTCCCAATGCGACCAATTATGTAAGTGTATTTATGTAAGTGCGTTTGTACGTGCATGTTTGGGGGTCTGAAATGGACTAATCTAATTCACAATATTCCTTATGGGAACAAATTCATTCAGTAATGGCACCTGAACATACTTCTGGAATGAAATAATATCGTAAACCAGGGGTCCACTGTATTGAAATTTTTACTATAATGATTAATTTCTGAAAATGAGATATGAGCCTAGATCTGTTCTTGTAGCTACAAAGAAGTCATCATACCTGCATACTAAAAAGTAGATCTTCTTTTTGTTTTTCTACATTTGAAAATGTGTAAAAATACTTTGATCTACTTTTTTGTTTTTGTTATATTTGAAAATATGTAAAAAAAAAATTAGACCTACTTTTGTAGCACTACACATGTGAACATAGATCTGTTTGGACCGTTTACGGGTTAAGCTTTGGAAGAGTTTAATTGTTAATGGGGCCATACAATTATACGAAAGTTTGACAGAATGATGTGTGATTATTCCACCATTCCAGAGAACTGAAATCCATGTGAATTGGACTTATATAGCCACTGCCCCTTATTGTTTAATTTGTCTGATAAATCTGAAAATATGGTACAGTATTACACTTGTGTGGTCATAAGGATTGCAAGACATGCAGTATATATCTAGCCATGAGTTTATATCTAAGATCAAACTCATAAATTCTACATTTATTAATTATTCATTTGCCTATAAGGTTATAATCATGCTCAACACTTGTCAATAACTGGATATCAGATTAGATGGAGAGCGTACAGAGGAGGTGAATGTATTCAGATATTTAGGAGTGGACATGTCAGCAGATGGGTCTATGAAAGATGAGGTGAATCATAGAACTGACGAGTGGAAAAAGGTGAGTGGTGCACTGAGGAGTCTGTGGAGACAAAGAACTTTGTCCATGGAAGCAATGATGAGAATGTATGAGAGTATAGTTATACCAATGCTCTTATGTGGATGTGAAGTATGGGTGATGAATATTTCAACAAGGAGACACAGCCTCATCAATACGGCCACTTGATACTGGAGTTCCGAAGGGAAGTGTCCTTGGACCCATGCTCTTCCTCATTTACATCAATGATCTTCCAAACATATCCCAACACCTGAAACCCAATCTCTTTGCTGACGACACGACTTATGTCATCTCCCACCCTAATCTTGCCACCCTCAACACCATTGTTAACGAGGAGCTGCTCAAAATATCGACTTGGATGACAGCCAATAAACTTACACTTAACACTGGCAAAACCTGCTATATTATGTTTGGTAGCAGAGCAGGTGTTGCGCAACTTAACATTAAGGTTGACAACACTCAAATTGCCAGACATAATGAGGGCAAATTCCTTGGCCTATACCTCAACAACAACCTAAATTTCAGCACCCATATCCAACACATAACAAAAAAAGTATCCAAAACGGTGGGGATCCTCTCCAAGATACGATACTACATACCGCGAACTGCCCTTCTCACACTATACCATTCACTTATATATCCATACCTCACCTATGCTATCTGTGCTTGGGGTTCAACTGCAGCAACACACCTAAAGCCAATAATAACCCAACAAAAAGCCGCAGTAAGAATAATCACTAAATCCCATCCCTGGCAACACACCCCCCCCACTCTTCATAGATCTAAACATACTCCCTGTTCAGAACATCCACACTTACTACTGTGCAATCTATATCTACAGGACCTTAAATTCCAATATTAGCCTTGACCTAAAATGCTTTCTTGATAGTTGTGACAGGATCCACAGGCATAACACCAGACACAAACATCTCTATGACATTCCCCGTGTTCGACTAAACCTTTACAAAAATTCAATGTATTTCAAAGGACCTAAAATCTGGAACACCCTACCTGAAAACTCTAGAACTGCAGACACATTCATCACTTTCAAAACTACAGTTAGAAAACATCTTATCTCCCTGATCCACCCCGACAACTAACTACATGATAACCACCTGGTGGTTCAAAATTACACTCACTCACCCACTGGCTATAAACCCAGAAATACTAATCTTAATCTTAAAATAATAAATCCTAACTAGTCATAAGTTTGCTTATGATACTCAAATATAGACACCTTGTATTGTGCCAAAACAAAAGCATTCACATTGCTAAACTCACAAATTACGATGTAGTCACTTAGCCTTAATACTATAATCTGTAAGGATTTAATGTTAAGAATTAATCTAAGTCTGCTGGAAATGCCTAGCCATGCTAGGTGTCCTAGTGGCCCCCTCTGTAATTAGTATTTTATAACATGTAAACCACAAAATACCCAAAACCTGTAAACCCCACATAGTAACCATTATAGAGAATAAACTTGAATTGAATTGAGAAGGCTGGAGGCAGTGGAAATGTCATGTCTGAGGCCAATGTGTGGTGTGAATATAATGCAGAGGATTCGTAATTTGGAAATTAGGAGGAGGTGCAGGATTACCGAAACTATTATCCAGAGGGCTGAGGAAGAGTTGTTGACGTGTGTCAGACATGTAGAGAGGATGGAACAAAATAGTATGACTTCAAGAGTGTATGTATAAACCTGAAGTGGAAAGAAGGCGGGGTAGAGGTCAGCCTAGGAAGGCTGGAGGGAAGGGGTAAAAGAGGTTTTGTGTGTGAGGGGCTTGCACTTCCAGCAAGCATGCGTGAGCGTGTTAGATAGGAGCAAATAAAGACAAATGGTTTTTAGGACTTGATATGTTGTTGAAGTATGAGCAGGGTAATATTTATGAAGGGATTCAGGAAAACCAGAAGGCCAGACTTGAGTCCTGGAGATGGGAAGTACAGTACCAGCACTCTCCAAGAGGGGTGTTAATGTTGTAGTTTTATAACTGTAGTGCAAGCACACCTCTGGCAAGACAGTGATGGAGTTAATGATGGTGAAAGTTTTTCTTTTTCAGCCCACCCTACCTTGGTGGGAAATGGCCAATGTGTTAATAAAATAAAAAAATAAACTTGCCAATAAATAAAATAACTATTAAAAAGAATTGTTTATGTGGCCTGGTGGTTAACGCTCTCGCTTCACACGGTGAGGGCCTGGGTTCGATTCCCAGCCAGAGTAGAAACATTGGACGTGTTTCTTTCCACCTGTTGTCTATGTTCCCCATCAGTAGGGTACCTGGGTGTTAGTCGACTGGTGTGGGTCGCATCCTGGGACAATGACCTAAGGAGGCCTGGTCACAGACCGGGCCGCGGGGGCGTTGACCCCCGGAACTCTTTCCAGATAAACTCCAGATAAACTCCAGATATGTCCATTTTTGAAGTATTGTACTGTACATTATTATTATACTCATGGAAAAAATTATTATATTCGAAAACAATCCTCCATAATCAACAAGAAGACCTGTCCCCAGACAAGGCTATGAGAGCAGGAAAATCCTTGAAGGTCACAGGTAAGCACTCAACCTGTTTTGTTCATAGTAAAGGGAAGAACTAAATCCATAGGAATCATGGGGGAATAGGAGGTAATCAGGTTCAATTCAAGAAAGGGGAGGAGAGCTCCAATTCCTTGGACCAGGAGCCCCTCATCAACATCAAGGTACCTCTTGAACAATTTTTGAAGTACTGAACAAAATTTTTTATAACTAAAACAGCCAACTGAAAAAATTATATGACACCAAATACTTATTCAACAATTCTGTTCAGAAGCTTGTAACTTCATGACTCTCTGAAGAGTTACTTGACTACATACATTCAGATTCATTTACAGAGCCTTGTAATCTGAGGATGGATTCATTCATGTTTACAGTGAGATCTGCCTTGCGAACAAGACCCATGACCATCTCGTAGGTGAATCCTGGATGTGCTGCCTCCACTTTACTCAAGGCAGAGCGTAGTGTTTGACTTGACGCTACATTTTCCCGCTCCACCTGGAAAAACATCTGACTGTTAGAAAATAGACCTACAGATTTTTAACAGATTCAGAGCATTAATGATCAGGTTTATATATTAAATTACAGAATTCATTCAAATTAAATTATTTGCAATTATATAAACATAAGACTATAGTGTAATTTTCCATTATACGTATTTTCAACACTGAAAAAAATAATCTATCACTTTTTTGGGGGTAACTCAGAGCCCCACTGGTAATAAGTCACACTTGATTTATGTTTTTTGGGTGGGTGGGCTATACTAGATTAAAACTACATAATTTACTACCAATGTATGCATATAATTATTGTGCATTTTCTACAACCATTTTATAATTATAATACCTGTACAAATATTTTCAGTAACCATAAATAAAACTTATAAGAATAAGATAAGCTATATTCAGAAAAATAAAAAAAAATTTTATACAGCTTTAATTTGTATAATGGTACAGAGGTTACATAGATATTGGCATACAACATATATCTGTGCAGAGTTAACCTAGGATAACCCAATAAAATCAACTTGAATTGCCCTTGTATCACTAGTTGCAACCTAAGGCATCACAGGATGTATAAAGCTGTGCTCTGGCCTCGACCACCTGTGTGATGGAGCAATCCAGTAACATTAACCTCCCATACAGTAACTAGTATATTAGTCTATTAACACTGGCTTGAGTCTCAGTATCACAAGAGCTATCTCGTTCTTGAGTGTGCTTGCTCTAGCTATACTAAAATAGAGGTAATAACAGAATATAATTGTTTTTTGCTGTAGGACGAATTTTGAACAGCACAGCTGACAGGATAACAAGAATCATTCAGGATTCCCTCATGTAATGGCCAGTACTGATTCATTCAACCCATACATGAATGGCATTATTATTTAACCTTATAAGTAATAGAGAGCCTTTAATATGCTCAACAACCTTCATTTAGTAATGTATCCTTGGAGACTGGACTCGATGCTGCCCTTCCCAAGTCTTAAGCTCCACATTTACCTGAGCCAATATTGGGCGAATTAAGACCGGAAATACAAGTGAAGCCACGGGCGCATTAGGGGCGTGGTCTCCCATGGTCATTATCCCAGCAGCGGCGACCACACGCCCACACACACACCAAAAAACACAGTCAAAGTAGAGGTGGAGAGAGAGAGAGGCCGGGGCTCCAGCTGGACGTAAACACCTTCTGACACTCACTGTTCCAATAATGTTACGGCTCAGCTGATAACCATACGCACACTGGTGTACACATGCACATACGCACACTGGTGTACACATGCACATACGCACACTGGTGTACACATGCACATACGCACACTGGTGCACACATGCACATACGCACACTGGTGTACACATACACATACGCACACTGGTGTACACATGCACCTACCACTTGGTGTACACTGCACATATACACACGGGTACACATGCACATACGCCCACTGTGCACACGATGCACTACGCACACTGGTTGTACACATACACATACCACACTGAGTACACATGCACATTACGCACACTGGTGTACACAAGCACATATACCACTGGTGGTACAGCATGCGACATACCACGACCGATTATACATGTCTCCGGAGCACACATCAATCAGATAACTGTTGCAGCATATGGCGCCTGGCAAACCTGAGAACAGCATTCCCTCCCGATAACCTGAGTAAGGAATCGTTCAAGACACTGTACAGCCGTGTAATGTCAGCCCATACTAGAGTAATGCAGCACCTGTTGGAACACCGCACTTGATAAGCACGTCAAGAAACTAGAGAAAGTACAAAGTGTTTGTCGACAAGGTAAGTTTCCAGAGCTAAGGGGAAATGTCCTATGAAGAAATATTAAGGGAAATCGCCTGAACGACACTGGAGGACAGCAAGGGTCAGGGGAGACATGATTAACACATAAAAATACTGCGTGGAATAGACAAGTTTGGACAAAGAACAGAGTGTTCCAGGGAGGGACACAGAAACAAGGGCCACAATAGATGTTGAAGACACAAATGAGTCAGAGAGATAATTAGGAAGTATTTCTTCAGAGTCGTAGAGTTGTTAAGGCAGTGGACTAGCCTAGAAAATGACGTTAGTGAGGCAGGAACCATACACCAGTTTTAAGACGAGGTTTGATAAAGCTCATGAGCGGGAGAGAGATGGGCCCATACAACCGTGAAGAGGCGGGTCCAGGACTAAGATCGACCCCTGCAACCACAATAGGTGAGTATCCAATATGGTGAGTACTGTTTACACATGCACATATAACTTGTGTACACATGCACAAAACACAGGTGTACAACATGCACATACGCACAACTGGTGTCAAATCACATGCTCACACTGGTGTACACGATGCACATGACCCACATTGGTGTACACATATCAATACACTGGTTGTACACATTACTATAGCACACTGGTGTACACATGCACATACCACCACTGGTGTACCATGCACATACGCACACTGGTGTACACATGCACATACGCACACTGGTGTACACATGCACATACGCACACTGGTGTACACATGCACATACGCACACTGGTGTACACATGCACATACGCACACTGGTGTACACATGCACTTACGCACACCTGGTGTACACATTCACATACGCACACTGTGTACAACATGCATATACACTGGTGTACACATGCACATACGCACACTGGTGTACACATGCGATATACGCAACACAGTTGTCACAGTGCACATACGCACATTGGTGTACACATGCATATACGCACATGGCACAAGCACATGAAGAGTAACAGTGGAGGTCTTTAAGTGTATACAAGAATTTCTTTGGGGCAGGGGGCAGAGAGCAATGGTAAGCAAGGGGTTTTCGGAGTTTACAAGGAGGAAGAGTGGAGTTCCCCAAGGATCAGTGCTTGAACCACTGCTGTTCCTGGTATACATAAATGACCTGCCAGAGATTACTGAACATTCATATCAGCTATCAAAACTTTTGGTCCAGTCCCTGGACCCCATTAGTACCTCTGTAATTTATTTGACTACCGCCCACACCACCATGTGTATGAGGTGCATAATAAATATATTAAACTACAACTGCTGCTGATGTGAAATTAATAAGGAAGACAACAATCTAACGACAGGGAAAGGCACCAGGGCGACTTGAACAGACTACAAATGTGGTCAGGAAGGCGGATACTTGGATTCAATCTTAATAAGTATAAAGTAGTGAGATTAGAAGAAGGGGTGAAGTAAGACATTTAATACAAACTGGAAGAGACGCTGCAGACAACGTTTACAATGGCAAGAATTGGAAGTAAGATTCGCACCAAGAATATCACCAGAAGAACATACTAACCACAACTTCAGCGGCATGTACAAAACTGGTTAACCCAAGACCTGATTTCAAGATCCATAACCAGACTTAATTTCACATTAGGCTTATCAATCAAAAGAATTGACTAATCAGACGCCTGCACGTGATCAAGCATTATCAAAAAATTAAAGAAAACCCAGAGTTTGACACTGAGATAGGTACTGGTACTGACGAGAATGGATAACAAGGATAGCCGTAAGGAATTGAGCCTAACAACACAGGAAGAGAGGACAACTAGGAAGGATTAAATTCGAATTTGCCACAGAATTCAGTTTTTGTGCACCCCATATTCCATCCTGTGGATGTGGTGAGTGCTAGAGCATAAGGATAACACAAAAGTCCCTAGGAACTAGGCCCAAAAAGGTTACTAGGATTGACATTATCATAGCAGACTAAATACTTAGGGGATTAGATAGAGTGAATAGAGTCAGGTTGTTTGAGATGTGGTGAAATGAAACCTGAACACAAAGTAAACAGCTAAATTCACAAATGGTTCAGAAAACGTTACGTAGTATATTTCTTGTCTCAGGTTGATGAGAAAGTAAAATAAACTGAACGAAAGTAGGGAAGGCAAAACACCACTAGTTTTCCATCAATATAATATGACTGTGGTCCTTGGATGCCAAGGATCAATAAATCGGTGTTGGTAATAGGAAGACTCAACCTCTAAAGAATACAGAGGTCCGTCAGTATCGACTTATTCAAACTCTTTGGTAAAAAACGGATGTTGCCCAACTAGAGTACTACTATCACGTGATATCCACCATCTACTCGTGGCTCTAGTATTACTATCTCTATCCTCTCGCTTCTTATCATCTGTCTCTCGCCACTATATTTCCTCTCTACATAGATGTCTCTGCATGGGGATCGTAAGGCCTATAATGCGGAACATTTACCTGGCAGATGTCTTAAACTGTACATAAGTGTCTATATCACACAACTAGGTGAGCACACTTATGTAAGGCAATAGAGATGAGGCAGAACAAAAATGGATTGACTAAATATTTCTTGATTGTAAAATACCATTTGAAAACTGTTCCTCCGCAAGAGACTAATTCGCAAAACACTGAAAGAGCATGAAGGAATAACTGGACATATATTTCACTGGATCAGGAGAATAATGGTCTGAAAAAGATTTTGAGATGGACGAGCGTGTGATGCACAGTGTCTCAAAAGATTTCGTACTCTGGGGACTCTACATTCCTGGCATATGTAACAACGTGCTCACAAGAAAAGTTCTATTGAGAATTAACATCCTGGAAAAGATACAAGAGAACTGGAACCAGACTTAGTAATGGTCAACAAGTGGGCATTGGCTTTCAACCCCAGTAAGTGGAAAGTTAGGAAAACTTGGGAAGGAACTAGATCAAATAGAGAATACAGACTTGGGGGTAACGGGGACAGAGGCTACAAATCTCAGACAAGCAAAAGGACCTAGGGGTAAGCATAACACCAAGCTTATTACCAGAGGTGCACATCAAATAACCGCTGTGAAGCATGTACTTCTAGCAAACTTAAGAACAACGTTCAGGTACCTTATCAGAGTCCTTTAGGAATCAGTATATGACGTATGCTGGAACTATCAATTCGTATGGAGTATCTCAACATAGACCTCATATCTGAACAAACATATCTATGGGTTAAAGAAAGTCCTGAAACTAAGAGACTAGTTCTGGAGTTAAAGAAGAATGGATCAAAAGACCTGTTAAGGAAGGCTCTAGGAATTACAGCTAACAACACTAGAAAATGTGAGAATCGGGAAAGATATAATGACGTAAAAGTTACTCAAAGGATTCTATAGGTTAGGTAGAAGCACACTGAGAGGAATGGCCCGAGATTGTATTTAAATAGGCAAATAAGATCCAGGATGTAAATTAGTACTTCTTCAGTCTGTGGTTAGTAAGTGGAACGATCTGGATGAGAAAGTGGTGAAAGCAGTTTCCATAAACAATTTTAAAAATACACTCATGCACTTACTCTCCTCCTTTATTTGTACCCGTGTTCTCACTATGAATTGAGTTTCAGTGCTCAGAGGAGAGAATAACTTTCTACTGATTACTCCCCTTCCTAGGAAAGCCTGACTAATACACACTTTAGTGCCATGTCCTGATCATACACCCCATACCCATCCTATGGATGGTAGTCACATCATGCCTATCCTATGGATGGTAGCCACACATGCCAATCGCTATGGATGAGGTAGCCACAACCATGCCACCTAAGGAATGGTAGTCAAATCATGCCTATCCTATGGATGGTAGTCACATCAAAGCCTATCCTAATGGATGGTAGTCCCCACATCAAGATGCCATCCTATGGATGTAAGTCGCATCACATGCCTTCCTATGGATGGTAGTCAATCATGGTCTATCCTTTGGATGGTAGTCACATCAATCCTTCCCTATATGGAAGTAGTCGACATCATGGCATGCTCCAACCTATGGATGGTAGTCGACATCATGCGCCATCCTATGATGGTAGTCACATCATGCCCATTCTTATGGATGTATCACTCATGCCCATCCTATGGATGGTAGTCCACATCATGGCCTATTCCTATGAAGGGGTGGTCAAAGCATACCCTGGGTGAGAGGCATACAATGGGTCCCTGGGACCTATTTGGTAGCTAAGAAAATTATGATAGTACGAAATATTTACAAATTTATTAATTCAATAACAACACTAAGGAGTTGGTAAACTTGTAAACAGTTTACATGGAGGTTACCTGGAGAGAGTTCCGGGGGTCACCGCCCCCGCGGCGCCGGTCCTGTGACTAAATTTTTAATATCAATTTATTTCCCTAATTTATCACGACGAGATTTAGAATTTTTAGATTTTGCCGCCCGAAAGTTGGCTTAG